ATGGTGTTTGGAGTTGATCTCTCTATATATATATATATATATATATATATATATATATATATATATATATATATATATATATATATATATATATATATATATATATATATATGTTTGTATTTATATGTCGAATTTTCTTCAGTAAGCTTTGTTCAAAACAGTCAATTTTGGTGGTCGCATAGAATAGAAACTACTAGGTTGTCCATCGGCCAGGTAAAATGGGCAAAATATTGTTTGCTAGTGACCTTATCTGGAAGCATCAATACATGTTGCCCTCACATGTAATATAAAAATTCCCCTTACTGGAATACTCTGCTACACCAAAGCATGATCCATGTCCTAATTAACTCAATTATCTCACTGGAGGTAGACGCGTTGTAACCGTGTCTTGTTTTCTTTTAAGTGGTCCTTGATCTTTAATATAAATGTGCTTATCTAGTTTTGTGTCGGTAAAAGCAACTAGGTGAAGAAAGGATCAAAGTCTTAAGGTACTAAATAGTCGAAAATTCCCAAATGTCACTCAACTTTGCTAATGCCGAATAGTGCACTTGAACCTATGTTTCTACCATCCGATTTGTATTACTATATAGTGAACAATTTCATACTGGAATGAAGCTTGATACAGCGACGCCTAATGACACAACACAACAATGGCAACAACGACAAATATAATAGCACGTAATAGCAAACGATAACGGCCTTCGTTGAGAATAATGTGAAGGTTAGTAGCATAAAATTTAACGATCATTCTTGGATACACTTCTTGCGCTCCGAAGAAGTTCAACATACCTTTGTCTTCTCATAAATTATATTGTTATAGTATTCACAACATTGAATGTTTAGAAACGAAATTTCTTTGACTGTTCTATCCTGCTGAATGCTTTCGTGTAAAACACCTTGCAAGAGCCTTAATAGTTGATATAACAGGCTTTCAGTCAACATTTAATATTTCGCTATAGTTTTGCTTGCATAGACCTCTATTAGGTAAAACAAAGCATAACATAACAAAACAACAGAGACAAGGGAATCTGAGCTCGCAAGGAACATGGATGTACATTATTATGGGCGTATGATCTAGATTTTAAGGTAGCTTTAACAATATTTCGGTCATATCGTTACGATGTCTGCACTATGACAGTTTATGGCGATGTCAAGCACTGGGGCATCTAGCTGCAGACATTTGGCATCACACCAACTCACATTATACTGACACCAGGCTGACCAGTCCAAACACTAACTTCTTAATGCTGAGCGCCAAGCGAGTAGCTGCAAGTACCATTTTTTTATAAGTCTGTGGTATTACTCGGCCGGAGTTCGTAACCTCAACCTCCCGTATTAGGCAACCGGAGCGGTCTACTAATTACGTACATCTTTCAATAATGAGGGTCGTCGAAAGTTTGCGCTGAATGAAACTGTTTCGTGTGCAAACGTCGCCTTTGACTCCTTCCTCTGAAAAAAATTCTGCAGACTCTGCAAAATATCCCTTTCCCACCCCGGGTATATAGCCCTGGGCAGTCGCTTGTATCGCTCGCCCCTTATGATGGTACAGAGTAACTTATTCAGGTAATCTCAGCTTTTTTGTAACGGGCGCTGGGGTTATTCTGTTCTATATATTTGCTCAGATCTTATTCCACAAATAAGTTTTCACACTTTATATTGATATTTACTCGTTCCAGGGAAATTACACCGTCCGCGATCACCCTCTAGATAACGATAACCAAAATCAGACAACCCCCAAACCTGATTTTAATAAAAACCCCAAAACATTTGGGCTTGAGGGATAAAAAAAATGGAAACGTGGCAATGAAAGTCGAGACTATTACACTCATTCTAAAATAGTCGAACTCAATTCAAAACAATACTTTCCCAATTCTATTATATTTGTTCAAGAAATACTTACTCAAATAGTACAAAATGTGATGGGGTTTAGGGATCATTTGCAGATAGAAAAGCCTTTAAAATTTCAGGATGTAGAGGAGGTGGGGTCACCTCACAGGCCTTCTAGTGTTCACTTAGCTGGGGATATTGAAGTTTCTGTGCAAATAAACGAAATAATTGAATCGAATATCAAATGGATACGCACTAATTAAACATATAGTAATTACATAAAATATGGAAATTAGTTGGGCACCTTCGCAATGAGATCCAAAGAATGCGTGCAGGTTTTATCTACCAATAAAGCTAAAGTCATTCAAACAAATTTTCCTGTTCTTTTCTCTAACGATACTTTACATATGCAATGGAAACAGTTAACATACATGTCACTTGTAAACTTTAAGCATGAAAGCAGGTGGCATCAAGAAGTCAATTTGTGCAATGTAGAGACCTGTAATACCATTTTAAAATTATATCTGCCACTGTGCATAAATGTATGCAGAAACCAGCCAGTTTTTTATTTTTTATTTATCATTTTTATATATATATATATATATATATATATATATATATATATATATATATATATATATATATATATATATATATATATATATATATATAAATTTATATCACTTATTGACTGAATCCAGACCAACAGGTGATTCCTTGCATTTCGACAGGTACCTTAGACACTAATTATAATAATACCTGTAAAACAGAAGCGTATAAATAGATTTAATTACCTGAAATAAGATAATTTCAATGGGTATTGAAACACATATATAGAAAATATAATAATCAATTTAATCTCCCAAGGTCCTTAACACCCCTCCTCCCTTGTCCACATTTGACCAACGTTCAATTTTTAAGGATAATCTTTAATGCTAGTTAATGTGATTTGTAAATATGTAAGCAGTGCTGAGATGACATTTGGCTATGTTTTAAGCATTAAAATTATATTTTAATTTGTACCTGAGCAGAAGAAGAAACAGATAAACTTTAGAGTGGAGGAGGAGACTGATTCTGATTCGTAATCTTAATTAAATCTTGAAAATAAACAAAAAAAATATATTAAAATGTATATTGTATTGTTTCCTTTTTATCCATTTTTGTCTCTTAAAAACTAATGGCCGAACCTTCAGTTTGTAAAATCAGGATTTGTCCTTATCAAGCAAAAGTTATATGATTTAACTATCTACTTCAACTTAAAACCTTGGCACTTTTAAAAAAAAAAATTTATTCCCATTGGGGTAGGTTCCCCCAAACCCTGGCCTACTTCGTCAGTGCATCTGTTCATTTAAATATAACAGAAGGCTCTGCGGTAATGCTTGTTAAGAAAAGTACCCAGTAAGAGGATATGATACAATGAACATAAAGCAATGTTTGCATATAAACCATGTTAGAAAACCTTCATACTCGCACTGAAACTCACTGCATACTTCAGAATGGACATATGTATTTTTATTAAATATGCATCGTTCCTAATTTTAAGATTCATTTTCAGTGTATTGACAGATAAATAAAAATACTAGACTACATTGTGTAGAGTGCATTTTTATATGTGCTACTTTAAACTAATTTGTGGTAGGTGACACACATCATTGCATGCAGCGTGCCAATTTGTACAATGTTAGAACAATTAGTGTACCCTGGCATAGTATCGCTATTATTATTATTATTATTATTATTATTATTATTATTATTATTATTATTATTATTATTATTATTATTATTATTATTATTATTATTATTATTATTATTATTATTATTATTATTATTATTATTATTATTAATAATTTTATTATTATTATTATTATTATTATTATTATTATTATTATTATTATTATTATTATTATTATTATTATTATCAAATGACTGGTGATGTTTGGTTTGTCGAATATAAAGTTGGTGCAGAACCTACAGCTGATAGGTTTTATTATTATTTTTATTATTATTATTATTATTATTATTATTATTATTATTATTATTATTATTATTATTGTCAAATGACTGGTGATGTTTGGTTTGTCGAAGGTGCAGAACTGACAGCTGATAGGTGACAATGGCAGTCTTGAAATTCCTGCTATTGCTACTCCTAGATGGATGGCAATGTTCACATTTTTGCAGTGTTTTCGACCTGGGCACTATTGTCAGCAGTGGGGAATGTGTGTTTCAGAAACACAATCAGCTTTCATATGATTTCCATGTAGGTTTCCAATGTTGTAAAAATGTTGTAGGAAGGTTATATTATAACGTTAAACAACAACATTGTAGCAACATTCCAGCTAGTTCACCAAATCACGTTGCCACAACATTATACGACAACGTTGCCACAACCTTACTGCAACATTGCTGCAACGTTGTTGCTACGTGGAATAGTTAGCTGGGAGTAAGGGTACAAAGAGTTTGCTGTGGTGCCCGTGTTGAAATAGTTACTGCATTCGCTGATGATAAACGTTTAGAAAAACTATCAGCAAGTACATTGGCTTTTACCAAGTACATTGGCTATATCATTTTTGGAATTGATTTTTTTTTGGTTTAATTTTAGATGTCGCAATAGCTGTGATATCTATTTTCCGGAACGACAGCCTAAAACAAACACTCGCTCCATGATGATCCCATACATACTTTACGACCAGCATTTAGCACGGAATATTCGGTACCTACTTAAATTTCGGGCGGGCGATGATTGTTAAATTTTCTGATTGCTAGCAGTTACCTCAATTTGATCAAATAAATGATGATAAATTGATAGAATGAAATGGCTAGATAAAAACAAGCAGGTGAACTCTAAAACAAAGTGAAATTTGATTGTTGTCATTCTCATATCGACTAGATAATTTTAACATTTCAAATTTGTATAATGAATCGCTACTTATTAACACAAAGCAGATAATTTGTTCATATAAGTAAACTAGTGTGCATTAGCTGTGATGTGATTATGACTTTTAACGTAGCTTTAACAATTTTCCAGTCATATCGATACGATGTCTGTAGTGTGGCAATTTATAGTGATGTCTAGCACTGGGGCATCTTTCCGCAGACATTGAACACGATGACCCACCCAGTCACATTATCCTAACACCAGGCCGACCAGTTTTAACACTAACCTCTTAATGCTGAGCGCCAAGCGAGGCAGCTATTAGCTATCGAACCCACGACCTCCCGCATCCAAGGCAGACGCTCTAACCACTAGTCCACTAGAGCGCTGGTGTGCATTAGATCTTGACTGCCTTGTGTATCGTTGGTACGAAGAGAGTTAGCACCTCCTGCACTAGAATGACTGCCTTACACTTGTGTCTCGTAAATAATGTAATAAAGTTTATTTTTTTGTCTTTTCACATTTGATTCAGGTGTTGTATATCTTGCCGATTAATGGCCGGAGGAGATTCTAAAAAATAGAAAACAATGCACAAATGGATTGAAAAAGCTACACCAACAATCTTAATATTTTCTCTCGTATATACCCAAGCGTGGAAACATGGAAACCTGATCTAATGGCGCAAAATTTTGTAGAGATGGTAACGCAGTATATTCTGTCGTATGAAAGTGGGATGTGATAGTTTACCTAAGAGGGCTAAATGTGTCATATTCCAGTAGGGAGTGAGTAGCCGCTAGCAAAGACATATTCACCTTATATGGGCTGAAAATATGTCTTAGGTGGCAAATGACCATAGCTTATTTGTGTTGATTTTCGATAGATGTTATCTAACGTAATAGAGAGTGGAAAATATTGTTTTATCCCAGGGAGAAAAACCTGATACGTATTTAGGTTGGGTATTATATTTTTTATTTTTGAACAAAAACTTGCTCCATGCTCTACTGCACTGTGGAAAGATCATAGTAATCAAGACGGTTAGCGACGAGAGAGAGAGAGAGAGAGAGAGAGAGAGAGAGAGAGAGAGAGAGAGAGAGAGAGAGAGAGAGAGAGAGAGAGAGAGAGAGAGAGAGAGGGTGGGGTGGGGTGGTTGGTGATGTTAGGGAGACTTACCGTAAATGCACTTATATAATGCCCACCCATATCGGCAATGCCGACCTATTGCCAACAGTGCTTTGGATAGGAACGGCATCAGATACCCCTCCCCAGTATTATTTACTCGATCCAATCAATAACACCGTGGTCTATTATCTCCTAAATAACGACAATTAAAGCTCCATAAAAAGTGTCATATGTCACACCATCCCACCACCTCCTCCTGACATCTGAATAAAACGCGTTCCATTTGAGCTGAAAATGTCGTCTGACACGTTGTTATCAGTAGAATTTTACTCTCAATGCTTGTATAAAATTCTAGCCGTTAGTAGTGACAGTTGGCCAGAACATTAACTTCAACATTCTGGATATTTGATATCAGAGACCATCAACAAGTTCCCTCCTGTTTGTTTATCTTTCCACGGCTAACTAAGCCGGGACCAGCTTGTGCCCTGGAGGAAGGCACCGAGGTTAAATTAATTAAAATCTCTTATATCTCACCCTTACTAAAACCAGAAGAGAGTGGGAGAGCAGGCAATTTTATAGTGGGCTTTGGCTCTACCTTTAGTTTACATAAAAGTTGTAGGACCCTTTCTTGGTATTTGTGTGTCTTTTTGAACCCGCGAATGTAACACACGTACTAAGATAAAAGTGCATTATAACCGGTTTGCTGGTGGTTTAAAATACAATCCCACAACCATTCAAAATATAAAGTTAAGGTATGAGAACTACTGATGCGGAACGGATTTGATCAAAAAAACAACTCGGGATGGAAATATATGCGTATAATTTCACGTAGGAATGTAGTAGGGATTGCCAGTAAAAATTAGATACAGGTGAAACTTGTTGATTTGTATGAAAACAGAGAATAAATAAAACAGACGACATCTGATGCGTATTGGTTGTTCGACCACAACAATATTAAATGAATGAAATGCTTTTAAAAAAGAAATTTAAAATTGAAAATTATAAACAAAACTGAGATCAAATAACCATATTACGACTGTAAGGAAAAACCTCTTTCAGAAGTTAGTATTTGTTTTAACATATAATCATATTCTGATGGGGACGGGTGGGGTCAAATCGTAAAAAGTGAGAAATTATTAAATATAAAATATGAGTCAATCAAAAAATTAAAACTTTAACTGCATATTTGCCTAGTTGTATGAGTCCAACACCCACGAGTCCAATCCCACAGGTTCTCTAAAAGGAAACGTTCACTGAAAATGAAAAGAGAAAGAATGAAAGAAAAATAGCACACATGATTTAAAATAGAAACCTAAACTGCGACAGTGACACTAATTTCTGGGATAGATATTTACCGCATCAGATTATGAACTAGTCTCGCAGAGGTAAAGTTGTTGTACGAATGAGACTGATCGGTACTGTTCACGTCAAGATGCTTATCATATACGGGATTCAGGTCAGCTGGTCAAAGGTCACGTTTAGGTATCAGAGCGTAAAGTAAGGCACGTTTAAAATTATCACTCTTTATGGGCTAAAGTGAAGCATTCCTGTACTAGACACAGGCACCACAGTGTATCTTGGCGAAGACCGGTAAATCATGGATATTTTAAAGATTTGCTTGTTTTTCTTTGTCTCGTTCATCGGTCTACTGTCCGTAAGCTGTTTTAATCTGACTATACTTCATACAAACGACTTTCATGCTCATTTTGAACAGATCAACAAGTATTCTAGCGACTGTACCGAGGAACAAGCCCAGAAGGGAGAGTGTTTCGGTGGCATTGCACGGGAGGCGACAAAAATTAAAGAAATTCGCGACACACATCAAAATGTGATCCTCCTTGACGCAGGAGATCGATTTACTGGGACCCTCTGGTTCTTTAAGTACAGGGGCTTCGCATCTGCGTACTTTATGAAAAAGCTGCAGTATGATGCCATGGTAAGTTAATAATAATAATAATAATAATAATAATAATAATAATAATAATAATAATAATAATAATAATAATAATAATAATGTATTTAAAGAGGAAAGCATACTCAGCATATAGCCCGCATGAAAATTTATACTTGTATATTGACAAGTTAAAACTCCTAATACCATATAACATTGACGTCTATGATAGTAGAAAATGGTATTGTTAATTAAAAAAAAATAAAATACGAGCAAAATAAATAGATGATATTTTAATTTCTTAAGTTAATCCAGAATATATTTGAAGTAGTGGTGGAATAGGACAACAATTCGGCCTCACTCACTAAATTGTTGTTTACTACGCAAATGATTGTATAGTAAGGTATAGCTACAATGTCGTAGCCTCAACTGTTTTGTTGTGGTTGAGGTTACGAACTGATCCCATATCATGTAATGGAGCAAAAAAAAAATAATCCTCACTTAAGTCAGAAACACAAATAGTTTAGAAATCTACTAAATAAGTATAATCATTTTGTCAAAGAAGTTTGACTTATTTTGAATTTATTAAGCCCTTACACGGTAAAATAAATTGGCATAGTTATGCTAACCTCACCGTGTCCACCATGACAGATAACGCGAGACTCTCGCAGTGACCCCTTTTCTACATAAAGTTTGCAGGACTACATATGGATTTTCTATGCTATGGTATTAGTTGTTGGATGACTTAACGAGAGAAGATGGAGAATGGATACTTGCATAAATTGCGGAATATGGTTTTGTTAAGAAAATAATTGCTTCTTGGTGGAATTTCGATGTCACCGGTGAACCGTATTCACTTTTAATGCGCAGAATTTGCGACTCAAACCGCGCCATATTTTTACTACGATCTGTTTACGTTTCTAAATAAGGCATTAACGTCCTTATATGGCACACAAACGAACGAGGCAGAGAACGGATGTAAGCATTATTTGAACTAATATGGCGGACGACTAAAACGAAAATATCGGATAAGACAGGTAAACGAGATTTTACCACTATTTCTATAATGATTTGCGATTATTCCAGTATTAAATAAGAGGACTACTCAATTTTTTTCATAATATATAAAGAAACATATTCAAAATGTTTAATTTTAGGCTAAAAATGAGCCGGGTGTGATTCACACCCGGCTGCTTCAGTAACACGCATAGACTCATGTTAGTACCATGTCCACGAAAAGACTAAGGTACTAATATTAGTATTAAGTAAGGTACAGAAGCATTGCATTTTAACGAATATCGAAGATACCAGTCAAAATATGTGGGGTTTTATTTATTTTGCCTGTATCAAAGATGAAATATGTCAACCATTTATGCATGACAATATAATTTTTCATTATATCATCGCCGTGACATTATTGGGCATATCCATTGGGGGAGGAGCGCATATCCAGTGGAGGGGGAGGGGCTTGGTTGGGTTGACGAGTAAATGCGATGTTGACGAAATAATTCTAATTCTTTAGAAGCTGGCGTTTATTGTGACTGAGAGTTTTGATTTAAAGTCAGTAACACTGTTCTGAGAGATTTATTTTAGAATGCTCTATTTTCCTCCATCTAATTGAAGGTTTTATCCTTAAGATGAATTCCTACGTTTGCATTCCAAATCACCATTATATGAACTTAGAATAAATGTTTTTCAATGGGAAATTTTGATGCCAGATCTAATAATGTCAATTGTTATTTGAGAAAAGATGAATTTGATTTCAAATATATCGATTTGGGTTCCGTTTCTTCAATAATACAGCAAAAATTTTTGACAAGTTTCCATTGCCTAGAAACAAATTACAGTAAATGAAGAAATTAATATCACATCAAAATATTGACAAACATATATATATATATATATATATATATATATATATATATATATATATATATATATATATATATATATATATATATATATATATATTGATAGTATATTAATTATGTATTAAATGGAATAAGCGCTGACGACTCGAGTGCTGCTATTACAACGTTCATAAATACATGTTATTGACTTGTTTTGTTACTAGCAGCGATCTGAAATATGATAAGAATTTCTGCATTAAGTTGGCCACCCCTAGTTAATTACTAAGTTTGGTTTTTTTAAAACAGAACTAGGCAAATTGTATCTTTTGACAATAATACATTATCACAAAAACGGAGATGACAAAAAATAGAAAGGCTGATTTAATTAAAAATATTGATAACAGTATTCGAGAGCAAATGGTCCATTTATAAGATTATTTTCACCAATGTCATAATTATTTAATGACACAGTTTCAGAATGTTTTGCAATAGATAACAAACTAAAGACAAAATGTAAGAAATGTACAA